ATCGTTTTTGTTAAACACCGATATGCTTTACGTACCTCGTCAGAAAAGTTATTTTAAGAAGTTTCGATAATGTTATAACGGTTGATATGCGGTTCAAAATGTGTAAAATCGTTTTCTCTACAATATGTGATCATAACGAAGTCGAAAAAGTAGTGAACCGAAATCAATGAAAAGCGGTCCCCCTCCTTTCAGAGCGGTCTCCTTTGCATCGGTATCAATAAAATGACGAGTGCACTGCGACTTGATCTCCGGAATGTACCACCTCAGACGTTCGACGAATTCAAAGGCTGGATGAAAAAGACTGTTGGTGTGGAATGGAGTGAGATTAAGGATCATCGCTTTCAAGCGAAGATAGTCGGCGGCGGCAAGGAAAACAAGAATAACGAAAACAATTCCATGTATCTTACTTTCAAGAATGAAGAAGCATTTCAACGAGCTTCGAACAAAGTTCCACCCTACTTTGTGATTACGCACGGGAGTGGTATTTGGATGCGTCGAGGCTACGAGAAAGAAACGTGGGGCCGACAACTTGTAATTCAAACCCCAGCTAATGTGACAGACAAAGATATTATCCAACGATACGGAGCTGATATGGTGATAACATGCTCGCAACTGAATAAACCAGGTAAACGAGATCAATATCCACGCGTGGAGTCATCGCTTAAACTGAACAACTTGCCACCGACCGCTGATGAGGCATTCCTGCGACAACGTCTCCAAACTGGTGGTTTTTGCTGATGCAGAACAACGGAACAAGGCCGCAGTCACCTATCAAATAGAAGTGTGTCAAACATCATTTCCAATTACAATTATAGCAAAGAGAGGTCCGATGCAAAAGTTCGTTCAAACTACAATCGAGATGGACGATGAGGCCAATGTCGCTCAAGCACATTCTCGCCCTCCTTCCAAAAATCTCTATCTTGTTACAGTTGTATTAACGTACGAAATTGACTATCAAAGTGATAAACAAAAGAATATGAAGACATCCTATCAACGACTGATCGAACGTCGACCCACGGAGGCACCATCCAACAATCAAAATTGGTTTTATCGAAATGATGAAGGCCGGTGGATACGGTACGAATCACTCGTGCAAGACACGATTGAGACAGCGTTTCGGTTATATCGATCTGGACAAGGTCTATCAACAGTCGACGTTGAATTTCCTGGACGCCCCGAGACATATCAAATTAGTTTTCGGTGGGACAACAAACAAACAAAACAACAAATGTATCCAAAATCATAAAACGCGAATAGCAACAAACGAGAAAGCGAAGAACAGAAACAGCATTTTTTATTGTTGTAATCACTGAGAACGAAATAAAGTTGAAATAACAAGAGGAAAGTTGTCTCTTATGTAAACTGATGGCTATGCATTAAGAATCGGAGGCCAGCAGTGTTTAACCGTGAACGAATTATAAGCCAAACATCTATATTTGATCGTTATTTTGCTGTTGTCTTTCTTCTGGTACAAATATGTCTCGTTTTGTAAATGCTATTTTCTCTGTTATTTTATGTGGAAGAACATAATTTGTCTCTCTTTCTTACAGAATTCTCTTCGCTCTATAGAGCGATAACGATGTAGCTGAGTATACTCAGCTACATCATTATCTTCGTTCCAGATTTCTCTCCTTTTTCACAAATTTGTTCAGAATTTGTGGTCCCGAAAAAATCTTATTTTCTGTAGATAAATTTCCACTTTACTGAACTTATGTGCAGTAACAATTTGTCCCACAACCACCCACTATGCCGCGCTTCGACCGAGCTTGATCAAAAATTTCTTCTTTCGCCTAACTATTGCATAACTATTGCCCACCCATACAATGATCCTAGAAAAATAGCAAAGACTAATATTGCCTTATAAGGGAGAAAACAAGAGAATATTAAGAAATGTCACGTAACTCATTTTTTCCTATTTCTTCTTTAACTATGACATAACACGCTAGTGCAGAAATTTGGAAACATGTTGCTCTTAATGAAGTACATAAATAGCATGAAGAGTTGTTCATGTTCGGTTAGTTTACCAGGCTTCTGCAGTTGCCTTTGCCGCTTCAGATGATATATTGTTCCAACGAATGTCAACAGTTGTTAATGTTTGGTTTAATAGAGAACATGGGAAATAAAACACTGCTAAGAAAATCATTTTGACCAAAAAACTTTTATTCGTTAGCGGGCCTTGGATGTCTTTCTAACGTCATCTTCTAGCTGACTAAGATGGGACATTTAACAGAGTTGTATACAATAAGGCAAAGATGACTGTTCTTTCTTGTTTGTTCGTGAAAAGAAGGTTGATTGAATGTTGAAAATAAATATAGATCGAATTAATGTTAGTTTCTTGTTTTCTTTATTTGTTTTGTATTCATATGTTCATCATATATTCAGATGAACATTTGAATAAATACGATCCGAAAAAACCTGTACGCAAAGAGTACAATATCATACGAAAACTGGAAGTTGATGTTTAGTGTCATTAAATGCTTTTTCGGCGCTGTTATGTGTATACAAACTTTCCTTTATTATACGTCGTCTCCAGTTAGTTTCTAGAGTCATTCTTTCTACTTTATCCTTTATCAATATCTACTGTGTGATTATTGTCGTATGCATGTTTAGCTAGCTTCGAGCTTTCAGAATTGTTCCTAATTGCTCGTTTATGATCGGTCATACGTTTACTACGTGTTCGTCGAGTTTCGCCAAAATAATATGAAAATTGAAAAAAAGGATCAAGTTTTTGTTGTTGCCAATGTAAAGATATTTGTCGTTCTAAATTAATTTGAATTCAGCTTCGTGATTTCTCTTATATTTCAACTTTTCTTAAAAGACTTTCAATGAAAATCACGCTTTTTCCCGTTCTCAATCGCAAATTTTATTTAAACGATGTATATTTTTAAGTTTTGCTTAAAAATAAAGAACGAAAAAAATGTGAGTTCCATTGAAAGTGGTTTAAGAATAATCCTAATTCATTCAAAACTCAAATTGGTCGGTAGTAATTTTTCCAACACAAAAGATTGTTTCAATTAATTCGAGGGATTTTTGTTAGAATTCGTTCAAGTTGATTTGAATACAGAAATTAGTTTAGATTAATTAGAAATTATTTAAAAGTTCCAGTGGGATGAGTACACAAGTAAATCGAGAAACGGATCAAGAAAAGGTATATCGTTCAACAATAAAGCATCTGAAGGGGCAAAAGCAATTACCAAAGCCTTGAAAACAAACCAAGCGTTAGCAACTCTTTCTATATCCGTCTATGAGTTTTAATTGAAAAAGCAAATTTGACAGATACTGTTTTAATTTCGATGGTTTTCGATCCAATATCAAACACTCGTTCAACCTTCATTCGAGAATGGTTCTAAGAAAAGCTATCATTTTTCATGAACTCCTGGAACAGGTAACATTCGAATACCCGGTCTATTCATCGTGGAGATTGATACAGCAGACCACAGACCTTTATTTGTAGCGATTATTATCATCCACAGGCAGTTCGCTCGTTCAAGCCCGCTGGGAACCATAGGACCAAAAACGTCTAGAAACTACAATCTATGGCCTCTGTTTCTCGTCACACGGCCGCTGTATATCTGCACCGGTAAGATGCAACTAAAGTTCTTTTGTTCTTCGTCGTCTACACTCGGGCACTATCTATCCAAAAAACACGACCTGATTAGAACCCGCGAACCGCTGCTCATTACCTTCAGAAAGTCTATGTCCCCAACCCAAGAATTACCGCGATTTCCTCCACGAAGAGTGCAACCAAACACAGTCATAAAAGCGAATACCGATCAGACCTGGCACTCGAAAGGATCTAAAACCGGAAGGACCCTTTCCCGGTTTGCAAGCACAATCTCTCTACGATAAGAAACCGGAGCAGAAGCCACCGCAGAGGCACTGAACACAAACCAAACATTAACAACTTTTGATATATACAACAACAATATATCATCTGAAGGGGCAAAAGCCAACGCAGACACCTTGAAAACGAACCAAACATTAACAACTCTTGACACTGGTATCAACCATATATCATGTGAAGGGGCAAAACCAATTGCAGAAGCCTTGAAAACAAACCAAACATTAACAACTCTTTATATGTACTACAACAATATATCATCTGAAGGGGCAAAACCAATTGCATTAGCCTTGAGAAGAAACCAAACATTAGCAACTCTTGACATTCGTTGGAACAATATATCGGATGATGCGGCAAAAGCAATTGCAGAAGCCTTGAAAACAAACCAGACATTAACAACTCTCTCTCTCTCATCCACTCAATTAGTTTTATTTAGATCGTGTGAGGAAGGAGTTCACGAGAGGAACTGCTGGTGTGAAGTAAACGACAGGAAGAAGGAAAGATACCGGAAACAGTTCTAAGCTGCGGTCTTCAGTCTCTCAAATTGGGGAACGAAAATGAATTTTGTTATACGGGCTATTGAACCGTAATAAAGTCTTATGTTCGAAGTAGGTATGCACCAGTACCGGTACCGGTACCAGTAAAAGTGCTCCACAAAAGTTTAAGACCCTTTTTGTTTTTGCAATAACTCAACTTCCTTGATAGATACAGACTCCGTTCTTTCGCCAAAAGAAAGCCTACATTGAGTACTATAAACCCTGAGAAAATGGTTAAGTTCCGGCTTAATTTGACTGAGCTAAAGCAAAAACGCGGTGTTTTATACACTTGGAAAATCTTACTTCCTGAGTATTTCACGTTTCCTAACCAAGAGAATTGTGCGAAAAAAATCAAAAATATATCATTCGATAGATAAGTTTACGGGCTATCCGTTGCTGATCAAACTTTCAGCTTTTGAGCATGTCTTCACCGCCCAAATCTTGTTTTAGTTTGAGCGGAGAAATCGAGGTTTTTCCGTTTTGGGGACCAGCTCTAACTAAAAGAAGTTTTTGGTGATAGAGACATGCTCAAAAGCAGAAAGTTTGGTCAGCAACGGATAGCCCGTAAACTTATCTATCGAGTGATATACTTTTGATTTTTTTCGCGCAATTCTCTTGGTTAGGAAACGTGAAATACTCAGGAAGTAAGATTTTCCAAGTGTATAAAACACCGCGTTTTTGCTTTAGCTCAGTCAAATTAAGCCGGAACTTAACCATTTTCTCAGGGTTTATAGTACTCAACGTAGGTTTTCTTTTGGCGAAAAAACGGAGTCTGTATCTATCAAGGAAGTTGAGTTATTGCAAAACGAAAAAAGGCCTTAAACTTTTGTGGAACACTTTTACTGGTACCGGTACCGGCACTGGTGCATACCTAGTTTGAAGTGCTAAATATCACGGAAAAACACAGCCAAAATTTAGCTTGAAAATACAAGAGCTTGAGAAAATTCTTCTTTATGAAATTTAATACAGTTAAACGGGATATGTTCTTAAACCTTGGATTTTACTGTATATCAATTTTCCAGAGCTCAGTAGAATTTATAAGAAAAATTAAGGTAGAATTTAGAATTAGCATACAAAACTGCGTGGAATGATGTGCAACTCGACGAGATTTTTTCCTCGCATTCTTCAATCACCTGTCTCAGTAGTTCACCCCACACACTTTATTCTTTTTCAAGGCTTCTGCAATTGCTTTTGCCCCTTCATCTGATATATTGTTAGAACGAATGTCAAGAGTTGTTAATGTTTGGTTTGTTTTCAAGGCCTCTGCAATTGCTTTTGCACCTCCATCTGATATCTTGTTGTCGTACATATAAAGAGTTGTTAATGTTTGGTTTGTTTTCAAGGCTTCTGCAATTGCTTTTGCCCCTTCTGATGATATATTGTTGTAGCCAATGTTAAGTGTTGTTGTGCCAGTAGATACTAATTTTTCTATAATTTTTTTTTCGTTCTGGGATAGTTTTGTCGCATAGTTTTCTGATAAGGCTGATTTTTTCAATGGGGTTAGAGCTTGTGGTGCCACTGGTAACGCCGAAAACGATGTCTTTTGAGAATCTGAAGAGAGACCAATTAAAAGTTGAAGCGATATCCGGAGTTTTTATTTCTCTTGCAGGAATACTGTAGCGACCTTTGTCGGTGTTACTTTAGTGGTAACTTCACAACGTTTTACTGGTCAAAGAAGTATTTTATACTGTTCCGAACACGTTTTGCGTGATCAACCACATTTATGCTCATTGCTAACTGTCGTGCTCCTTCAAACCATTTACGGTCTTAAGCACTAACAAAATTTCTCTGGAGCTGGGTAACATAACTTACTAGACGTAAACTGTAATTCTGCTTTTAATTTTGTCATTAGCTCATTTGATTGCGTAACGACCGCTCTCACCTATAAACAAGAATACCCATATAAGGTTTGCTGACAACAAACTCCGACTTCTGCTATTGATCAATACGCGTATATACGGTATATACGGTTCCCTACCTTCTTATACTTATTAGCCCAGCTTTCGTTTCCTGCTTTATCCATACAGTAAACATAAACAGCAACTACTTGGGATAAATCATGTATTCGAGGTACAACCTCACGGCCAAATTTTCCACCGACAATCATAACAATCTTTTTAGTTTTCGTACGTTGGATGTAGTTTTCACATTTACTGACTATATCAAACACCTCAAATAAACTAATGATTTTTCGGAGTTTTATTTGTAAGTCCAGATTATTTTGCTCCTTATTAACATTCCCGTCGAGCCAGACAACACAAACATTTTGGACGGCAATCTGGTTCGTTGATATGTCGCTTACACCTACAAAACAATCATTGTCATCCTCTTCATCACTATAACCAGTTTTATCTCCACCACATGCACAGATTTATATGGTTGAATCAAGTTGGGATCAACAATACTTTGAACTGCTGATGCATACGCACCACTGCTGCTGCTGAATGGTGCTTCGAGTAATGGATACAGCGGTTTTTTTTCTTTTCAATGAATAATATGACAATCTGTAGCTGGACTCATTCGACCAACAACTTCTAAATACGTGCCGGGTAATAGTACTATTTCATCCTCCCTTTTGAAATAAGAATGTTGTCGAATCATTTTACCATTTAAGCATTGAATTGAAAATATTGTTCGTTTACCTTTTTTGCCAACATACATTGGTAATTCTAAGACATTAACTGTTGCACTACATGAACT